GCCTACACTACACAGCAAACGTCTCCAGCAATAGCTGGGTCACTGTATACACTGTGATGATCACATTAGGATGAAGTAGAGCCAGGCTTATGGATTTAAGCCACAACTCGGCCTCAGATTTCAAGCTCATCAGTATCCATCTGACACTCTATGATTTCTACTTAGTTCCACCTCAGCCCCAGCAGTCACTCCTCATCTCCCACCCCAGCATTCTGCTTTTGTTTCCATGCCTAGAAAATACAGACTAAACATCTCTAATGTGTAAGACAAGTGTCTAACAGACTCTGGTATCAATGCTCATGTCACATCTAGTTTTGAATACAAATTTCACAACAGTCACACAAAATACAAAGTTATGTGGCATAATAAAAAAAATGACTTAGGGAAATACAAACTGGCCACATAAAAAGTAAATATTCCACATATTATTGTCCATATTAGTAATGGCTGACTTTCTGTTTATATTAAAATTACCTATACTTCAGACTAGAGTTACAGCAACTCGGTGACTGCGTGCTTATTTACTCATATGCATGAGACTCTACTCCAGAATAGCATAAAAAGAAAAAAAAATCAAAAACACAGGAACCAGGCATGGTGGTAACCACTCAGCAGGTGGTAGCAGGAGAGACCAGCCTGGGTTATATGGTGAGATACTGTTTCCACCCGTGTGTACATGTAATGCTTGATTAATTCATCCTGGTTCATTTTGGTTTTTGTTAAACTAAAACATTCTGCTTCATTTTAGAAGAAACTCACCAACTGAGGGGCTACTGAAGAATATCACACAATTGGACAGGGTACAGTCATAGGTACTCTGAGGATTTACAAATCCCCATCTTCTCTTCCCACACATGAATCCCAGTGCATTTTAGATAGATTTTCCTTAGTTATGATTTAAAAAAATTACATATAAAGCTTTAGACTCACAAAGAAAAGATAGATGATAAAATAGTTTCTTTAAATTTTGTCTAATGTTGGTGTACTAAATCTTAACTATAGTTCTTGCTATACACAATTTTATTTTTGTTTTGTTATACACAATTTTACTATGTTAAAGTTAATACCTTCCCTTTTATGTAGACAGAAAAGAGATGATGGGAAATACCCTATATGCTGTTCAAGTTTCATATTGGTTGATGAATAAAGCTGTTTGAGCCCATGGAAAGGCAGGATGTACCCAAGCAGAAGTATAGGCAGGTCTCCTAAACAAAGAGAATTCTGGGAAGAGGAAGGAAGAGAATGGGTGTCAAGAGAGATGTCATGTAGCTGCTGAGGAAGAGGCCCATCACCAGTAAGCCAAGACCACATGAAGATACATATATTAATAGAAATGGGATAATAATTAAGAGAGAGCTAGCCAATATGAAGCCTGAGCCATAGACTAAACAGTTTATAACTCTGTGTGTTTATTTAGGACTAAGCAACTGCAGGACTGGGCAAGACAAAAACTTCAATCTACAGATAAATAATAAATATTATTATTAAGGATTAACAGATGGATCTCTGTGAGTTAAAGACCAGCCTGGTCTACATAAGTTCCGGGACAACCAGTGTATGAGAGATCCTGTCTCAAGGAAAAAAGTCAGTCTTCTAGCTTTGAGTACATAAACACAAGTACCAATACAGTCACCCTCATGTTGAACACACAAAAATGAAGCACCACCACTTGGGAATTAAGTTTGCGATTTTTATTAAGAGCACTGAACTTTTTCATATCCTTTACTCAGTATTTGCACTTCTAGGAATCTTTAATAAAGAAAAACATTTCAAGCTTTCCATTAGTCATTTGTAATGAGCATTCAAAAACAAAAAAGCAAGTATACAATTGGGAATGTCAAACACACTATGACATGTACATAACTAGATTATATCGTTAACACGGTAATGCTTGTGACATAATGACAAGGAAAAGTAGGCTGAATATTAAATATACACAATATAGTTTAACTTGTTAACCAAAAAAACCACCAAAATATCAGCAGTGGTCATATCTGGGATACAGAATTAGTACTGATTTTCAATTTTTTCATCTTTGTTTTAATATATTTTCTATTTTTCACAGAGAACATATATTGTGTATAATCAAGGAAAATATTAAGGAAATGTATGCATAATGATCTCTACACATTCAAACAGGATCACATTTTATATACTAAAAATCATGAACCACTGAGCCAGTTTATGACTTTTAAACAAGAAACTAAATAGATCCTAGAAAATGCAAACACTAACTTGAAATATTCCTGTTCTAAACATACAACTTTGAAATGTAGCTCATGATGATCTCAGAATTTAAGAGGTAGAGGTAGATAGATCTCTGTGAGCTCTGGCCAGCCTGGTAAGGAAGTGGAGAGGAGGGAACGGAAGCAGAAAAAATAGCTTTAAGTTCAAATCCAGTCTGGTCTTCATATTGAGTTTTAGTCCAGCTTGCTCAAAACATACAACTAGGGCCAGGCATGGTAGCACAGGCAAGCAGATTTTGAGAGCGTGAGTTTGAGAACAACCTGGAGTACATAACCCCCCCCCCAAAAAAAAAGCATACAATTCTATAGAATTCTAAATTTTATAGAATCTGGATGAAAAGTTTCCCAATAACATCAATACGTAATCCCAAAACTAAAACAATAAATTATAATTAGGCATAATAGTTAAGATTTTATGGATATTTTAATTTGACTAAAAATAACTGGTAAATCCTAACATTCCTCATTATATAATGCAGGAAGGAAAATGTTAACTCTTTCTGTGTCTTGTAGTAATAAAACTAACCCTTTTGTAATTAATTGATAACCAAGCAACACCACTTGTCAGTTGGCACAGCATTCTCTCCAAGTTCCCTAATTTTCCCGCCCTACTGTCAGCTTATAGCCTTTTTCTCTTATCTACTGTCTTATACTTTAGGCCTAGTTTAAGACTTTCCACAAAGTACTCACCCTCTGGGCCTTATGTACTGTCCCCAATGACAAGTCTCTAGGCTAGTATGCTGCCCACTTTCCCCTACCTCCCTGCTACATCTCTCTTCTATTGGATTTGTGCACTACCACTTAATCCAAGTTTCCCATTCTCACCATCTTCTATATTTTGCCTTAGCAGTACCTATTATGCTTATAATTAAATAATTGCTTATAAAAATGCTTAATGTTCATCTTCTCTATGCATGAAGGAACCATGTCTCTTACTCATTTTATCCCCAGTGGCCATCATCACAGAACCTCGTGAAATATACATCACATGGATGAGTGGGTGGGTGGTTGAATGAATGGATGGATATGTCTGGGCAGGCATGGAAAAACAAACACACGGGTATATTACAGATGTTAAACAGTGAGTTGTTACACTGTAATACATGCCTATAATCCTGGCTACTCAGGAAGCTTAGGCTGTTAAGATTCTAAGTTCAAGGACTAACTGAACTACATGGTGAGTTCAAGCCTGGCCTGACAACTTAAAATCTTAAAAATAAAGGAGATGGGTGTTGGTGGCACATGCTTTTAATCCCAGCACTCGGAAGGCAGAGGCAGGCGAATCTCTGAGTTTGAGGCCAGCCTGGTCTACAGACCTAGTTCCAGGGCAGGTCCCAGAACAGTAGAGAAACACTGTCTCTGGGAAAAAAAAAAAAAAAAAGGAGAAAAGAAATTCCCTGGGGGGGGAGAGAAAACACTTCCAAATGTGGGAAAGCAGATGCAGATACAGCCATATTCTTGATTTTAAAAAAAGTCTTGAGCACCAATTATATATTGCAAAGTATAAGACCTCCCTGTCAAGAGACTATCCCTATACTCAAGCTGAAGTTAACCAATCCTGATCAATATCACACATTTTTGGACTCAATTTAGCTGCGGCCTCCTTAGAGGATGCCTAGAGGGGGTTAACTAGTGGCAATTATTTCATGTGTCATTCACTGAGTGGTTCTTACCAGTCTATAAAGCACTAAACCTAGTTTTGCCATTCTCTCACTCCCTAGAAGATCCCTAACTTTGAGATCCTCATTTGAAACTATGTAGGCCCTTCTGGCCTTGAACTTACAGCCATCCATTTGCCTATTCCCAAGTACAGGGATTAAAAGGACTATCCCATCATGCTCAGCTTAACTTTATACTTTATCACTCCTCGTTTCATCTTTCCAAGAATAAATGGAAAGCTAAATCCTCCCAGGTCCAAAACCCTGCTCAAAACTTCAAAGCATGAAATAAAATTCCCTTTCTCCTTTATTCTGCAAATCTCTTGACAAGTGATTGTTCTGCTTCCTATCATCCACCCCTCCTGCCCATGCCTACTCTTATCTTCTATAACTGAGTCTTTAACTCTCATCCCCATCAACACATCCTGCATGCACACTGCCAGCCTGGCACCCACACTTCTTTAACATGAATGTCACCACACCCATCCCCTATACAAGTCTTATTTCCTCTACATTGCCTAAGAAAAATAAAATGCAATTCCAATTTTCTCTGCAAAGCATTTAAAGCACTCTACAACTGACTTTCTCATACTCCCAATTCTATCACTTTATTCTTAAATGAACTCTTTTCACCTCTATTCTCATTGTATTCTCCAAATCTCTAAATGTGTTCATTTTGCCTGTTAAGTCTTCCGAGAATACTTTTGAGGTTGTTTGTTTCTTAAACCAAGTTCTCACTCTCTATATAGCCTCAACTAAATGATTCTTTTGTCTCAGCCTCTCAGAATGCTTGTTTAACATATGAGCCATTACATCAGGAGCTATCTAAACAATATCAAAACTAATTGAGCATTCTTTGCTGCCCAGGCTTCCTCTGCCCTATCCCAGCATGAACTTCTGTCAACTCATTGCATAGGTACTCTAACTTGGGGTAATCATTTTGCCCATGAATGGATCATTTGACTTTATCACGTATCCCAAAATGGAATGGAAGCTCTTTACTAGACAAATGTCTTATTTCTACAATGTGGCTTAACTAGACAGTGTTCTGTCAATTTAGGAAATGCCCCTGAAGCACTATGAAGCATCCAAGATACTCAAGGTTTCTAGTCCCAGGAACAAAGAGTTAGTCCCCTAGCAGCTCAATGTTCAGAGCTCTTCTTCAGTTGTTTTAGCTGCTTTCTGGAGAGGTGCTTCCGACTGCTCTGTAGGACAGATAGGTCAGACCCTGAGGAAGAGCAGTAGCCCACATTTTCTGCTTTTAAGGGCTTAATGATATGCCCTAGTTTGGTGCTAACCTTGGGAAGTGTCAGCTTTTGGAAGGCCCTCTGGGTGTTCCATGTGTACCCAATAGGGTTCTGGATAGTCCTCTCAAATTGCTGATGGTGGGTGAATGGGTACGGAATAGCCTGCACCTGATGGGCTGCTGCATGGATGTTGCGATTCTCATTGATAATCACATTTGGCAGATTCTTGTCTTGTCTTGGAGAACTTTCAGGAGCTTTAACAAGAAAACGGCGTCTTTTCCTGGCACTGGGCTTCATTCCTATACCAACCCACTCACCCCATCCAGGCAATGTCAGGTCCAAGTCCTTTGGCTTATTTGCCTCTATAGCTTCTCTTTTCTCTTTTAAGAACTCTCTGATGACATCATCCCCAGCAAAAGCTTCCTTTATTACCTGCTTGTGGTCTGTCTCTCCTTCATCTTCCAACTCCTCTACTGTGGGCACCGCCAAAGACTTCACAGGAGATTTAGCAGTTAGGAGTTTCTGTAGATCAATCATTTGTTCTTTTTTCTTCCTTCTAGAGGAATCAGGTATACTGTGCAGATTCCTTTCCTTCCACTCTCCTTTTAAGGTAGGACTGGGAAGTCCCCCTTTTTGATAATGCCTCTCTTTGCCCAACTCTTCTTGTTCTTCCAGAACATGTGCTCTCTCTATCCTTTGAAACACCAGGCTCTCCTCCGGGGCAAGTTCCTCTCTCTGGATCTGGAGAACAGTTGCCACTGAACTCCCTTTTTGCTGCTCAGACTGATGGTTTTCCTTGTGGAGCTTCTGAAACAATACTCTTGGTTCAGATACCTCCTGGCCAATAGAGTCTTCTGTTTCTTGGCCACCCATTGGCTTAGCACTGTTGGGCTCAACTCTTTCTTGAAAAGATCTTTCTTTCAACAAAAGTTCTTCTGCCACTGGTCTTTCAGCTCCCCCACTTTGAGAAGACCCATTGGCCACCAGTTCGGGCAGCTGTTCAGGATTGGTCTTGATCTCATCACTTTGTGCATCACAGTTGCAACTCATCAGCATCCAGGGATTTAGAACAGGTGCATTCATCTGTAGGTCATTCACTCCATCAGAGACAGGGATTACTCCTCCTGTGGTGCATTCCTCTTCCTCCTCACTCTCTGAAACTACCTGGAGTTTCTGTGTCAGTTCTCTGTTCTTCTCCAAATGCTCTTGCATAGCTTTGCGGGCCTCCAGGTCATATTTGGCCCTAATTGCCTTTGACTTGGCCCATTTTCCACTGCCCTGGTGCTTAAGGCTCATCCGCTCCTTCACTCTGGCCTCTTCCATTTTTTCCAGTTCTTGCAATGCAGCACTTGGGCAGTCCTTCAACAGGTGCTCAAACTCTTTTAAGGCTTTCTTGGCCTTTCCTTTCTTTATAAATTTGTGGTACTTTTTACTTTTGATTTTCTTCTCTCTTCGAGCTCTGGCCTCATAGTAGGACTGCAGAGCTCGTGTCCTTTGAAGCTCTGCTCGGTGTATCTTGGCTTCTTCTAGGCTCATGGCTTTGAGGGAGGCTTTTTCCACAGGAGTCAATAAAGGATTTGTTACTGGCTGCTTGTTCTTATGAAGGACGTTAAAAACTTCTTGCTCCAGGGGGGTCCTTGTTTTCCAGCCAGTGAATACATGTTCAAGGGGAGCAACAGCTGGCAGCTCCTTCTCCATGGGAAAAACCAGCTGTTCTGCTTGCCGGTTCTTCAGAACGATGGGATCCCACTTGGAGAGCATTTGTGAGGTTTTGCTGAATGCTGCTTCCCTGAGGAACTGGTCAGTTTCTTTTTTGTCAAGGGGTGTCTCGAGAGTCTTTGACTTGACTCTAAGCAGTTGTTTTTTCACAGTAGCCAATGAAGATGTTGTAGCAGTCTCAAGCAAATCTGACAGAACCAGCTTCTCACCTGACCCTTCAGAAGTGACATTGAACTCTGACACCATCAGACTAGCTTCAGATCTCTCGGCCAATTTCCAATTATTCCTTCCACCAAGGGAATTGACTGCTTCCAGGAGTTTTTGACATTTTCTTTCTCCATCACTGTCCCCCTCATCTTCACTTGTAGTCAATGGGTAGTGGTTTGGCAAATCCACTAGTTCTTCCTGCTGGCTCAAAGCCAGAAGGCCTACCACATTCCCGGTCACGTTCATGGTAGCAGCCTATTTTCTCTCACATCACCTGTAAGCTCTTGAAGAAGCGTCTGGTCTCACTCATCTTATTGCCAACTCTCTTTGACACAGATGTTTTCTGAGAATCTTAGTTATTGAGAAGTCTAAAGAAGAAAAGACCCATATAAATTCCCCAATAATTTCCATGTAGTCAACACATAAAATTTACAAGCCAGCCAGGATGATGACATAAAAGGACAGCCTAGACTATATTAAGTCTCTGTCTCCCTCTCTCTCTCTCATACCAGTGTGCCATATGTATATATACATCTATATATATGTATGTATGTGTGTATTTTATATAAACATATATATATGGACACCTAAAAATATGACACAGGTAACAAAAATCTCAAGCCAAAGAAAAGGAAAGGGGGAGTGAAAACAAAGAACCATGGTGGAAAAGAAGCCTTTATGGCAAGAAATCAGACAGGAAACTAAGCCCAATAGGAAGGAAAAATAGTTATGGAGAATGCCACATCAGTCCTAGCAGCACCATTGCAATCAACTAAAAAACAAGCTTCTTATATATTACAAGTGAAAAGACCACCCAGTTGTCTAAACTTGCTATATACCACAGAAAACAATTATTTTCTGAGTTGATTCACTGAATGAAATTCATGCAGGATCTTAACTGAATCTGTCTCTCAAGCCTCTGCTCTATGCCTCCCCAAAAGATGTACTCAGCCCTCCTTAGTTCTCAATGGCTGATGATGCCCTCTTCCAAATTCCACTGCTCCTCAACATCTACTGTAAGCACGTTCCTTAAACTCCTGTTTACTCCAAATCTACCTCAAGGCTCACCTTCATTTATTTAGCTGACACTTCCCTGGCTACTCTGACCAAACAGGAGATCCCTGTCTCCATTCTTCTCCCTTGGCCTTTACCAGGCCTTATATTACCTTCAGAGTTTGAGAAAACTTAAGAAATGAATACTTCTAACTAATCCCCTTTAAAATGTATACTTTATATAAACTTGTTAGCCTATCAGATTCAGAATGCTTATTACTATTTGATACAAAAAGAGACAGGAGAAGAAAAGAAATAAATAGGAAAAAGCAAATTATACAACAGAAGACAAAGGCTGAGGTAAGGAAAGCAACAACAAACAAGCACACAGCCATGTCCCCCTCAACTACTGTTTTCTTCCTCAGCCCACATAACTGAAGTAAGAATTTAAACTGAAATGGAAAGCTAAGAGACAGGCAGTGCTGCATATCTATAATCCCAGCACCTGGGAGACTGAGACAGGAGATTTTAGGATCAAGACTAGTAATTAATAAGGGGTTACATAAAAAATAAATTAAAAACCCTGCCCCCTCCCTACCAAGAAAAGTTTTAGAAAGAAAAAAGTCTGAGAAATAAGTGACTAGCTCCAATTTACATACCAAGTTTTATATACACGGATGGCAATGGTGCCTCATCCACTCAGCAACTCAAAATTGATGATAGGGCATTCAGGAGGCTGAGGCAGAAGGATCTCGAAAGTGAGATCCTCAAGGCCAACCTGAGCCTCACCGCCAAATTCAAGGCCACTTTGGAGTAAAGAGTGAGACCCTGTTGTAAAATAAAAAAGAAAGAAATGCCACCTGAATTATATTCAGTCATATGACATTAAGCCTTGTAAGTAATAAAAGTAGATGTCTGTTACACGAATGAGAATGTCACAATGTCAGTCTACGTGCAATGTGCCACACATAAGACATTTACTTTTCCCAAGGAAAAGCAAAATAATGAATGCTAAACAGAACAAAATCATGGGGTGAAATGGCTCAGCCAATGAAGACTTGCCACCCAAGCCTGGCTCAACCCCTAAAACCACACAAAGGCAAGAGAGAACTGTGTGCAATGGTGGTGCACACCTTTAATCCCAGCACATAAGTCAGAGGCAGCAGATCTCTGTGAGTTCAAGGCCAGCCTAGTCTACAGAGTGAGTTCCAGGATAGATGTCAAAGCTACACAGAAACCCTGTCTCAAAATACCAGAGAGTGAAAATTAACTCCAAAGTTGTCCTCTGACCTTCAAATGTGTACTATGGCATGCACACAGGCACACAAAATCATATATACACACGTTATTAATTTTTTAAGTAATAGAACAAAAGCCAGTCAATGTTTATCAATTTATGATAAAATATCTCTAACTCCACTAAACAGAAGTTCTAACACATAAGATACTTCCTTATGGTATATGACTATAATACAGAAGCTAATGCTACTTCAAGAGAGAAAGCAAAGCTAAGTAGTGGTGGCAACATGCCTTCAATCCCAGCAATCAGAGGCAGAGGAAGATCTCTGTGAGTTCAAAGTCAACCTGATATACAGAGTAGGTTCAATGACAGCCAAGACTACACAGAAAAATCCTGTAGATCAGAAATACCAACGGAGGAGGATGGACAGTAAACTTCAAAATTCTCAACAATAAAATTGGCTCATGTTTCTTGACAACAATACTATACTTAATTTCTCCCTCTCACAACAAACAATTCAGTAAAGAAATCAAGGCCCAGAAGAGTTAACTAATCTATCAGAGGACAGTCACTCAATATGTGAGAGGATTCAAACCCAAGCACCCTTAATTCCAGCCTCATGTTTCTATCCAGCAAACCACAATGGGGGGAGAAAGAGGTGCTAAACTTTACAGGGAACTTCTTCAATGAAACAAGTACTAATGCCCAGAATTGGCAAAATGACTAGTACTTACAAAGAACAAACACTCAAGGGAAATGGTTTCCTTATTTCCCTACAGTCTTTTATGAAATAATTAAGATATGAACAAATGCAAAATACTAAGAACACTCTAAATACTAGAAACAAAGAAAAGTGAAGCTAGTAGGCTGATTAAAATATAAAAATCACCCCCAGTGGTGATGGTGGAGCACACCTTTATTCCCAGCACTTGGGAGGCAGAGGCAGGAGGATTTCTGTGAGTGCAAGGCCAGTCTTTTATTTATCTACAGAGTGGGTTCCACAACAGGCTCCAAAGCTACACAGGGAAACCCTGCCTCTAAAAAAGAAAACAACAAAAATGCCTAAGAGATAGTAAAGCATATCTCTGACTGATTAGGGGAGAGGGTCTTCGGAGGCATTTCCAGAAACAGATATCAGAGCTCTAGCCTAATTGGCACACTAACCCCTTGATGAATTTGTAACACAGCATAACTAGGAGGTGTATCACTAAGGGGATATCCTTGGTGTTTTATCTTGCCATAGAACCTTATTATATTCCCCCTTTTTTTACTCCCTGGCCACCATAATACGAAATGCTCTTTCAACAAGCCCTCACACTAAAACAGAATGACATCTTGGAAACTATGAGCTCAAAGAAATTTTTCCTACATTCTCTCAACAGATATTTGAGACAACTAATCTGCCACTCTTCCTCTCTTTTGCTAACTGCCTCTTCTACTCAGTACGAAGGTGACAGGTGTCTCTGTTCTCCTGTGATGCTCCACAGGCAGCCTGACATGCCCACAGTTTCACATTCTATCACCTCTCCAAATAGCTTGTCGACTCTACTTCTGAACACTGAAACAGTTCCCTAAAAAGACAACTCCAAAAGAACACTTCTAAGCCTAGAAACATGTTCTCCCACATCTGAAACCTAGCTCTTTCCCAGAGAGCCTCAGCTCAGAGAGTAATAATGTGTGCACTGATCTCCAATTGCCTTAATCTGAAACAGTATTCCTCCCCTCAGTATTTATTATCATCATGCCATAACAACTTTACATCTAACATCTCCACTTTTGGAAACTTCTCTTCATATTAACCTCTTTGAGGCTCAACTAATCTAACATAGGACAGTTTTAAATGTTTGACTAAAATATTTATATAGTTAAAAGTTTATATTTCCCAATTCATGCCTGGTTTTCTTGCTCTTCATGAAGTGGTTAGTTGGGTTGTTTTGTTTTTTGTTTTTTTTTTGTTGTTGTTGTTGTTTTGTTTGTTTTTTTAAACAGTCTCATTATGTGGCTCTGGCTGCCTGGAATGATGTAAATCAGGCTGGCCTTGAACTCAGAAATCCACCTCCCTCTGCCTCCCAAGTGCTGGGATAAAAGGTGTGCCACTACCCCTAGCTGAGAGCTGAAGTATATGTAAAATTACTCAGAGTATAAACTACAATTAATACTTGTGAAAATTATGATGCTGCTTATCCAAATTAGAAAAGTATGTCAGTTTGGGCCTGGCTTGGGGGAGGGGTGTAGAATTGTCTAAATCACACCTTCAAATCCAAAACTGGTATGTAAGAGTTTTGCTTCTGAACTACTAATCAGGAGAAAATGGAAGGGTTACAGGAATATTTAAAGTTTAAGCACCCTAAAAGCAGGCAGAGTACGAGCTTGGAAATCATCCCTATCTTATTCAGGTATCTTGCAACATGAGATGGAATGACAATTTGGTGGGGTACAGATATTGAAATAAAAAGAACTGCCATTACTCTCAAAGTTTTTAAGCTATTGTTCTGTGTACATTTAATTACAGCCTCAGAACACAAGACTGAATCCGGGAAAATCTCACACTATCAGTTTTTAAGACAGCTCCCAAGATTTCCATCTAAATCGGAAATCCTTATTATAATCTTTATTCACTCAATCACCTTTACTGCAAGTAACATAGCTTGCACTCATCCATTTATCTACAAAATCTTTGGCTTGGAGTCTAATCCCTGCCCAAGGACACAGGGTCACATCAATTCTGTCCCTGTTGTATTTCCTGAAGCTAGCAAGGTGTCTGGCATAACAGAAATGAGAAGACTCTAGGTGCATAATTAACTGAATCAGGAATGAGCTAGTTATGTTCCCCCAATGTCCTTCACTATGCCCTTTTTTTTTTCTTCTTCTTCAAGGAGGACATCTTGGACTCACCGAATCCTTGTGCTTTTAAGTCACTCAGCCCAAATGTCCCACAAATCCAGTAACTGGGCTCCAAAGACACCTGGTGACTCTCCTACGGCCAACACTGCAATCAAGGTACTTTATGACAGATGAATCAGAGAACAACTTAAGGAAAAAAAAAAAATACTTTCATCTCTACATGTGAGGACTGCACAGGAAGGTACCAGAAAACACAAACTCTGGGCAATTGACTCCACCACCCCAACACCTCCTTTCAACTCAGCTGCACCCTCAAAGCCAACGTGGACATACAAAACTGGCTACCACAAACAGGAAAACCATTACCGAACTCTGCTGAGGGCTGAAGAACCCCAACCCAAAGTCACAGTGAAAACTTCATTCCTGCAGCAGTGGGTAGCTGCGTTCTACTAAAGCCATCAGATTAAGTGCTCTGGATTCGGCGCCCTCCTGCTAGCTCACATCTGGGATAAGTTAACGTGTCCAGGGTGCGGGCTCTCTCACTATAAAATGGGAATGTGCACCGGTCCGGGTGGACTAACAACATAAACATAGCTGTGCATAAAATACTCGGTGTGTGGCGTTTAATAAGGGCTCAGTAAATGTCAGCTCTGTCATTCTGGGCAGTTAACCACCACTTTCACAAAGCCGGCCCCCTCTCTCGTTTCTAGATAATTCCCATCAACTGCCCTGCCGTCTCTATCACGGAGGTGCTCTTCTTCGGAGTACCTGTTCTAGAACCAGAATGGGCACTGCAGCTGGATCCTCATCTGTGAAATCCCTTCACCTGCTCACACCTTGACCCCCCCCCCGGGGGCTGCTGGTGTGTGCGTCGTCGCGTGACTGACTGGCGCTGGCGTGCAGAGACTAAAACGCACTCAAGAGGGTGAGCCAGGAGTCCCCGCGCCAGTCCCACCGCCCCGCACACGCAGTTTGTGCCCCACGCCCGCAGCCAGCCGCGGCCTGGGTTTCGGGGAACCGCTGAGCGCGGGCGGGCTCCTGCCACAGACGCCGCGCGGTCGCGTGGAGCGGGACGACCCCACCCCCACGCCCGTGCCCGCAGCAGAGGCCGCGGGTGCATCCTTCCTCCCGCGCCCCCCGGCTCCCCGCCGGCGGTTTCCCCGACCCCGCGCGGACGCCCCCACTCACTCTTCACCCACCGCCAACCCCTTCCCCCGAGCCCTCCGCGGCCCAGGCGTCCCTTCGGGCACCGGCGGGCCGCATGCATGCCGAGGGGAGGCCTGGCCGCCATCCCGCCACCCTCAGCCTCCTCACAACGGGCGCTGCGCGCACTCACCGTGGGCTCCGACCCACGCAGGCCTGGCCGTTCCCGGGAGCGGTTCCCGCCTAGCGCCACCTCTACAGGACCTGCCGGAGCTGCCGAGGCCGCCCTGCGAGAAGGGGACGACCGCCCGCAGCCCGCAGCCCGCTCAGCCGCCGCCGCCGCTTTTTTCGTCCCAGCCCGCGGCCGCGGCCACAACCGCAGCGACGTCCCCAGGCGCCGGCTGAGCCGCGTCTGTTGAGCCGCAGTCCGGGACGCGCAGCCCCGGCCGGCGCTCGTTGCATATGCAAAGAGTCCTCCGCCCATTGGCCCGCGGGCGGTGGCGCGTGAGGGGCTGAGCCAATCAAATGCCGGCCGGGGGAGCGCGGGGCTGGCGGCCGGGGCGGGGCGAGGTTACTATAGGTCATTCTGCAGAGCCGCCGCCGCCGCCGCCGGCTGGACCGGGCTGGGGCCGGCGGAGGGCGGGGATGGAACCCTCCGGGAGGGGAGCGGCGGGCCCGACCCGCTGCTGAGGCGGCTGCAGAAGGGAGCGGGGCGGGGGGCGGGGGTGGGGGTGGGGAGATGGACTAGACGACAGGCAGCGACAAAGGTGCCCCCGCAGAGACTGCAAACCCTCTTTCGCTGCCGCGATGCATAAATCTCAATGTAGAGCGAGAAATAGCATTTTTTTTTTTCCATTCTTCTCTGGAATGGATTCGTGATTCTAGTTTGAGGACGAATTTCTAGCAACTCTTGCAAGGGGAAGAAAAATAAGGTTTGGAAATGCCTGTGGAGGGAAAGGGCTCTAAAGCTCAAAATAAGCCCAGTATTTCTCTTCCATGGGCTTCATTTAACTCAGCGTGTAAACCCGTTTACCCCATCCCCCAACTCTTCACATACCCCAAGTTTCATGTTCGTTTTCAAAGGATGAAAGTTTACTCCAGATTACTGTTTATGAACAGGAAATGTGTGTGTGTTTAGTTTGCCATTGTATATAGTTTGGGGCACTGCACCAGAGAAAGGCAATTATTGTAAGGCTGCCTGCCCCCCATTCAGACAAAACACACACAGAGCAAAATACAGATGACTGAAACACCCACTCCACTGTAATATTAGAAGACTGTTCGTGGCATGATTCTACACACACACACACACACACACACACACACACACACACCCCTTAACTCAACATGTTAATTAAGTTGGTCTGTGAACTTGTCTTTAAGTAGGTGAAAGGTTGAGTTGCTGAGGTAGCTTCCAGCAAAGGCAGAGGCTCACCAGGCAATCTGGAAAAAAAAAAAAAAAATGTCAGGAAGCTGTCAGAACTTGAAGGAGGTGGAGCTATGATGCACTCTACAAAGAGAGCTCACTCACCTTGGGCCCCTGGTCTGTCTAACTGCCTAAGAGAGCCCATAGTGCTTGACTCAAACAACCTTGTCCGACTAGGAAAGCGATAAATGTGTCGCTCTTGATCTGCCCAAGGAAACCCTGCCAACAAATGGAATGGAGAATTTCTGCTCTGTAGTTGGATATATACCTTAGAAGTGATAATCCCAGAACCCAAGAAACCTCTAGAAAAACTCAGCAACCTCAAGACAGGAAAATGAATACTGAAGCTTCCTCCCCCATTAATAAATATAAAACGTAGAATTCCAGGCATGTCTTTTCTTCATTATCTCTATGTGTTAGACAATATTTTATGGACATGTATTTACATTTAACAGAAAATACTCTTGAAATTCAATGGTTAAATTCAAATAAGTTTGCCATTTAACACTAAGGCTAAATATTGTATTTCTATTCTTTAGGCTTCTTTGTATGGGTGTTTTATTACTTGTAGAGGAACAGGAGCCCTGTGTAGCTCAGACAGGCCTGGATTATAACTACGTAGACCAGGGTGGCCTAGAATTCATGGTGATCTTAGATGACTCTAGGAATACAGGTGTTATCCACCATGTTAGGTTTTGTTTATGTCTGGTATCGGGTTTTTACACTGTGCCCACTGAACTCTGAGCAATCTTCCTGCTTCACCTAGATTTATTTAGTTGTTTTTGTTGTTGTTTTGTTTTAAAAACAGCAGGGTGTGATGACACACTTTTTTTTTTTTTTTTTTTTTTTTTTTTTGATAACACACTTTTTTTTTCATCTCAGTATGTGGAAGGCAAGTAGATCTCTGAACTTGAGGTCTGCCTGGTCTACTTAGCAAATTCCAGGACAGCTAGAAGACTTCTTTTTTTTAATTGCTGTCTCAAAAAAAAAATAAATAAAACAAAGGCTGGCTAAGAGGCTTGCCAGCCTGGTGACCTGAATATATTTTTAAAAAAAGACAAAGAAAAGGGAAAACAGAAAAGCCACTGGCTGCAGTGGCTCACACCTGCAATCCCAGCACTGGAGATGCTGAGGCAGGCAGGAGGGCTGTCTTGACATTGACATCAGCTTGGGCTGAAGTGAATTGCAGGCCAGTTTAACCTCCAGGGTGAAACCTTGTCTCAGAATAGCAGACCCAAAAAAAAAAAAGCACATATGCTTTTCCCCTAGAAAGGTTTTCAGTATGTGTTCATTCAGAGCTTTTTGAAGCATTGAACTTTCATTACATTTTCCTTTTTATGAGATTTCAAGTCAGAAACTACTGCTAATGGTCAACCAAATGAAATCATGAATAGGAGCAAGGCAGTTCCTTTTGACATTTTGATACATTCCCAACTTAGAAGGACATTGAGGGGAATTGTCCATATACATGATGTCTGTTTCCAGTGAAGAGTCATAGATAAGTCTGTGAATATATCACAAAAACTACATTTTCCATTATGATACCTTAGCAGAACCAGCTGATATTTAATTTATTTACAGGAATGTTTCTGTTGTTTCACCTCCAGTGGATGGGTGAGTATGAACATAGCACACCATACTGTTGGAATTAAGCAGGCTCATTCAAAAGCACAGACCAATCAACAAAAGCAACTTTAAAATGTTGATTACAGCCTGGCAAGGTGACACACGCCTTTAATCCCAACTTGGGAGCCAGAGGCAGGTGTATCTCTAAGTTAAAGGACAGCCAGGGCTATGTGTAGGGAAACTCTGACACGAGAAAATAAATAAATAAAAATAAATAAATCATTTATTGTCAGACATAAAGAGACTTCAAAGGTCAGGACAAGTACAGGCAAATAATCCCAGCATTTCAGATGCAGAGGCAGGAGGACCTGTTGCAAATTCAAGTCAGCTTGCACCATATACAAGACCATCCTGGGTGGCTTTAACTATGGATTTGACACAACCTAGCACCATCTGAGAGGAATATCTCCATTGAGAAACTGCCTCCACCTATGGATGTAGCTGTGGGGGATTGTTCTTGTTGTTAACTGATGTAGGGGGGCTCAACCAACTGTGGGCAGCAACCAACCCCTAGCCTGGTGGTCCTGACCTGAATAAGAAAGCCAGCTGAGCCTGAGCCAGCATGCCAGGCAGCTAGCAAACAACATCCTCTGTAATTCCTGCTGTACTTCTTGGCTAAGAAGTGAGTTTCTTGTTTAGAGGTAACGCTGTGTACAATAGTAAGCAGCCCTGTCTTCAGGTTCCTGCCTTGACTATCTATCCTCAGTGACAGACTGCAACTTGGAGTTAGTTGTCAGAGCTCCTGTGTGTCCCTGAGAACCTGGATGTTTGCTATCCTCTCTGTAACTTCCTAATCTACAGATATGGAAGGAATCCAGGCAGTTATAGTAAACTCTCCAAAATAGTTGATTTTCTTATTAAAGATGTTCTCGGATGGGCATGGCAGTGCCTATCTATAATTCTAGCACTTGGAAGATTAGAAATTCAAGGTCAGCCTCAACTACACAGCAAGTTAAAGGACAGCCTGGTCTACCAGAGACCCTATCTCAAAAAAATAAAATTGTTCTAGTTGGTATTAATAATAATAATAACAACAACAACAAAAATAACAGAGACAGCTATTGGGGTTAAAGCTGAAACTCAGAGAAGCAAGGCTGCCAGCCATTAGCTCTTACCTCTACCTCAGACCAAAGGGGCCATCCTGTCTTTAGACTGCATATATCTCCTCCAAACCTCAGGCTGCCTGGCCTGCTCCTGTCTCCTCGTACCTTACATTCCTCTCTAGTGCTGGGATTAAAGGTATGTTATCCCAAATGCTGGAATCAACATTCTGTTTCTCTTTTAAACTAATTCACTCTCATGTAGTCCAGGTTGATCTTGAACTCACAGAGATCCATCTGCCTCTGTGCTAGGATTAAAGGTGAGGCCACAATGGTCCTCAATTACTAACTAGTAGCAGCTCCACACTATGATTTTCAGGCAAGCTTATTAGATCATAAACAAAACATCACCACAAATAATCTCTGCGGTGGGTTTGATAAATTTGATCAAAGAAGAGAAGACTTAATTATAACCAATTAAGTCTAACTGCCTGTAACTATGTTTAGAAATACTAGTGGCTGAAAAAAAAAAGCATGGGATGGGGACTTCTACATAAAAGGAGTCACAGATTCCTAACTCAATATAATCATCAGAAACCCAAGATACAGGACTAGAGAGATAGCTCGGTTCCAGAGAGGACCCAGGTTCAATTCCCAGCACCCGCATGGCAGCTCACGTCTGTAACTCCAGTTCCAGTGGATATGATACCTTCATACCAGTGCACATTAAGTTAAATAAGTTTTTTTTTTTTTTTTTTAAGAAACCCAGTGTACAATATCATACTCAAAGTTACAAAACAGCTGCTGGAGTGCCAGCCAATATATCTGCATCAGGGGGAAAAAAATAAAAGCATACAAAAGGGATTTGATGTCTAGTAGACCACTCAGGGATTTTTCTCTGAAGGCTTTACCTTAAGTCTCATGGACTAGAATGTCATCACATCCAAGGAAACTGGGAAATACAAGCACACAATGCCAACTCAAATAAAAGTCAAAGTCTGTTCCCGGCCATGAAGAAGGCCATGAAGGATCCATTGGGCAAGCAACCAACAATCTCTGCTGATTTGTGAAATGCTTGCGCAGCAATATTCATGTTCTTCATTCAGACCACTATGTTTATTTCTTCTTCTAATTTAGAAATTGTGGCACTAGATAACAACTTTTCTGTGTTTTTCAAATAAAAGCTCTTATGTAATTATCCTAGTTGCTTTACTAATTGCTGTAACAAAATACCTGACAAGAAGCCACTTCAGACTTATAACTTCAGGGAAAGAGAGTCCATCATTGCAAAGGCTCATGGATGATGGCACAGTGGCAGGAATCGATCCTGATTTGTACAAAGCCAGGAAGTAGGATTAGTTCCACTTGCTTTCTCAGTTTTATCCAGTCCAGATGGCAGCCCAAGGATCAGTATTGTCCACATCTAGGCTTTTCAACCCATTTAACCTGATCTAGAAACTCCCTCACAGATCAGCCCAAAGATTTGTCTTCTAGCTGATTCTAGAGCCTATCAAGCTGACAAT